TGTAAAAGTCTCTATTCTGGACTTTGTTCTCCATTGTATCCAACAGATTTCCAAAGAAAAAGCTGAAAAAAGCAGGGAGCAGGGGAGGACCAAGATTCAGAATACACAGTTTAACATATAAAATGTAGCCTAATCAGACTTATTTTCTGATAGTACTTTAATTAGCAGTTTCTGCTTCTTCTGAAAGACACTTGTAGTGAGGGAAGCATTATTTCTCTTTCGCATGCTAGTTTATTGATTGATTGTGTTATTTGTGTTATTGTGTTATTTCCAAACAGACCAATTCCTTTTGCATCATACCCATTGTAATCTATCATTTAAAAGAAAATATTGGTATATCCCTGGAGGGAAAAAACAGCTGTTTCCCCAAATTTGGGGGGCGGGGGGGCAGGACAAATTCTCTTTATTCATAACTGACTGCAGAACACAAATACGAGGGGAAATGACATTGAGATTCAGAATATATACCAGGGACATAGACAAATAAGAGTACTAGGAAATATAGAGAGAAACAAGAACACCAGTGATTCATAATCACTAAGCATTATGTGCTGTCAGAGGTTCATAAATGTGTTCACTATTCATAGCTATGACTGTACTACTCCTGAGTAGAGCTTTAGAGTCATTATCCTTTTCCTTTAAGCATAAAGAACAAAGGCCTTACTTCCCCTATTTGGATATATTCAAATAAAATATTCAGAAAGCAGCAAGACCTAAAAGTCAATGCAGCCCTCACAAAGTTAGTTGTGTATATGTTTGCTTATATCTCAGGTAAAGTGAGCAAATTTACATAGTATATATACAGAAGAACATGCAAATCAGTATGAATGTCATGGTTTTTAATTGACATTAATTGAAAAAATATTAAAATTACTGGAAACTAAAACATATAGTTTTATAACTATATTTTTTAAAAATCTGTTTATGCTTATATACATTTTATATTTATTAATTTTTTTACATGACTGACTCATCTAATATATAGTATTATGCATCCAACTCAGCAAGGACATATAGGTTACTCACCTCCCTGATGAATAGCATCTTATTTACATGTTGCTGAAAAACCAGAGTCTGCTAAATGCTTGCAAACCACTTAACTAGAGTATGAGTGGGTAAAAACTACCATTTAATAGCACCTAAGTCTGATATGAACTAAAGCATTCTAAACTCAATAGGTGAATTACACACTGAAGAGACAAAGGTGGGTGTACAGTATAGTTTATGTTAAAACAAATGAATCTATATATACTTTAGCCTACAAGCTGATTAAAAACATCTACTCAAACCTATTCCTGATTATAAGCTTCAATAATAAATTAAATTGGTTTGCACTGTAGAAGATGGACCAATTACTAAAATGACTTTAATTCAATCTTGTCTCTCTTTCCCAGAATCTATAGCCATAGCCTCGTCTTCAAATGCTCCAATTATTAGAAATTATTATACAGATTTTATGTTCATAGAACATTGGAAGAAGCAATAGTAGGCAGCTCACAGCATATGGTTTTATTCATTTCATCCTTTTGCTTAAATGAACAAAATTATATTATCTTCAACATCCTTTTTATATTATTATAACATTCTTATACTAAAAGAAGCTATTGTGGTGGGGGTTTTTTTCCATTTCAAAACTTTCAGTACCCAAGTACTTTTCAGATAATATTAAAACTGGGATTTAAGGAGAATCAAATAATATGGAAAACAATAAGCTGGCTGAGAACAGTATTAAACAAAATCTCTCTTTGAAAGTTATAGAATTTAACTTTTATTCTTGTAAAAAATCCTTTTATTAATATAAGATTCATTACAAAGACATAGGCTGTATTGCTAATAAATAAAAAGGCAATTTTGAAACTAAAAGTTTTAAATATTACCATAAACTGACATATATATATAAAGAAGAAGCTGTAATCAGTGTTTTCCATGCAACAGAGAAATCAGTAATTCCTACTACTAAACAGAATGGGGAAAGGAATGTTATTATTTAATAATAGCCATTTATTTATGTATTTATTGGAGTTAAATCCCAACTTTTTATTTAGCTTGCATTATTACTTCTGCATGATATATGTAATCAGGATTCTCAACTCAACTGAATCTTTTAAAAAATTAGAAACAAATATTTAGGAGGTCCAAAACTAACTTTACTTTAATTCTTAGGTAAATGAATGAATGATAATGAATGTTATTAAATGATACTATATACCAAAGATATTCAGTACTGTACTACTACAAATAGACAATGAAGTACAACAAAATGCATCCAATTTTCCTCCTCTTTTCAGAGTACTCTACACCACCCTCTTCACATACTTTTCAGTGTTCCCTCAAAATAAAACAGTTAACAGTGCATATCACCAGTGATGCTGGATCCTGACTTTAGTCTGTCTGTCTGTCTGTCTGTCTGTCTGTCTGTCTGTCTGTCTGTCTGTCTGTCTGTCTGTCTGTCTGTCTGTCTGTCTGTCTGTCTGTCTGTCTGTCTGTCTGTCTGTCTGTCTGTCTGTCTGTCTGTCTGTCTGTCTGTCTGTCTGTCTGTCTGTCTGTCTGTCTGTCTGTCTGTCTGTCTGTCTGTCTGTCTGTCTGTCTGTCTGTCTGTCTGTCTGTCTGTCTGTCTGTCTGTCTGTCTGTCTGTCTGTCTGTCTATCTATCTATCTAAAATATTTATTTTTGCAAACCTTGGGATGAATGCTAATTTCTTGTTCATGGCAATGCTGTTTCAATAAAATAGGGTAAATAATCAGGTGTACAAGTGTGAGACTCCACTAATATATGCTAAAATAATAATAACTTTTGCAGATAAGAAAGGGGAGTGGGGTAATTTGGAATGAATGTATTATATTACCTTCAAATTCCAATAAATATCCAGATATAACTCAAAGTCTTAGGGTTTCTCTATTAAGCTCTACATGGCTTAGCTCCTCTTTACTTTCAGGACTGTCTCCCAACTACAATCAACCCATTCAATAAAGTATTCATGAGAGGTAATGTATGTGACCCCACCCCAAGAGAGGTCAGGGGTGCAGGCCAGTTAGTTGTAAATATGGGGTCTCCCAGCTTGGCCCTTAATGACATTTCAGAAGGCCTTGAAGATAATCTTCTTTTAAATACTAGTTATACTGTCAGTCTACCTTTTTGGTTTTGTTCTTTTGCTGCCCTTTGGTTAATATTTATGCTGGTAGTATTCATATATAGATACACAGATATTATAGTCACAGTTTTTAAGGACGGTTAAAGGAGAGATTTTTTATGATTCCTTCTTGTAAATCTCCTTAAGTTGATTTGATTGGTTAGTAAATAATTGTATTGGTTAGTAAATAATAACAATAATAATATATTTATATGCTCCCCAACTCTCACTGACTTTGGGATGTATATAGTATATATATTTTAGGTGGTATATAGTATACAAGTGTATGCTATAAATAAATAAAGTATCAGGCACCAACAAATGCAGTTTTTTCTTCAGTTTTTTATAAACTATAAATGTTGTGAAAGCAAACATATCTATTTTAAAGACAGTAACTATGCCTTCTTGGAAACAGGGGGGAGGGTATACTTTAAAAAAAGAAAGATAACCATGTGCATTTGTAGCAACCAGGCCTCATTTTTTTGAAGCCCAGACTACATCTACTAAAATAATAGTGAGGTGGACCAGAAGTCCTATCACATATGATACCTTTCATGTAGAGGAAAACAGCTCGTTTTGAAGTGCTCTCTAATTTCAGATAAATCCTAGTTCTAAATGTATCATCACGTTCGTGTATCAGTTGGCTTCTGTCGGAAAGTAAAGGCTCTTAACAGGAAATAAGCCATTCTTTCAAACCAAAGCCCTTTCCATATTTATGAAACCTATTATCTGACTAAATATTACATCTGCTTGATCTCTGTTCCAGGACAATAAACTCGGTCTTTGATTTTATTTTCGAGTTGGGGAAGGGTGCAAGTGACTTAGTTTAAAATCATTCTCTAATCCTGCATCTTAAATTCAGAAGAAAATGTTTTCAGCACAACTACTCTGCAGCACAAGTAGACTTAATCTTGCATTTTCCATCACATATCTCAGGCTTTATGCTTCTTAGAGGAACAACTATTAACTGTAACAATTAACTGGTCAGCTATGAACACTTTTGTCCCAGTACAGTAAAATATCTGTGAAAAACGTTACATAGATCTACAAAAATCAGATTGCTGCTCCTTGCTGTCCCATTTTTCCCCTGCAAAATCCAGATGGATTTTGAATCTTATTCCCTACATAATTTTTTCACATGTATTTTTTCACAGATATTGTTCCAAGGGGAAAAACTTTATGTCGAAATTGGACCTTGACTATGTAATGAAAGCTTCTTCTCATTTGTTGAGACTTGACCCATTAAAGTAAGTCTTCTGCTATTAGTGTGATCGGACTGTTATAAATAATACATTATTTCATCCTAGTTCACAAACAACTAAAGGAAAATATGAAATTGAATACAATTACTGTTAGAAAATCGAAGAAAATAAAGAGATTGCTGAACTTTTCACAAAATTCAACATAGAGAATTCCCTAGCTATAATTCACTGGGAAATGACACAATGTATTACTAAACTATACCTTAGTTCCTTTTTGCACAACTTTACAGAACCAGAAAGAGCTCAGTTTGGATATTGAGGTATCATGACATGCACAGGAACAATAATATAACCCTTGATATATTATACAGCATGGATTGATCATACTTCTCCATGCCTTTGGTTGATAGTGACAGCTAGGCTCAGGTATATGGCTAGCCCATCAATGGTCAATAAATTGTTCTTTCTCTTCATGCAAGCCAGAATCTACCATATAACATTGTTTGTTTGGCTATCTATTCCTATAATTCGGGTGGAGGGAGAGGGGAGTTATTTCATGGAACCCTGAAAGCCAGGTACTAAATATTGGGCCCAGAATTCTGAAAGAGAAAAAAAAAATACAGAAAAAAAATGCATATTCAAAAAACAGAAACTGGGAGATAGAAAGCTACAAGCTGATGTATTTTAATGAATATTTATTATACTTCAATAATAAGTAGTGAATGTAGATTACATTGTTTTTAACTTTACTTCCTTTAGCATGGCTTTCACCCATGTTTACATTTCGTTAGATCAAGATACTGATAGAGAACATACCTTAACATACTAAAGTCTACATTTCTTTCCCACAAAGTAGCCTGGCTGTAATATTTTTTATAGATTTTTCATGAACGTAGATGCTTTAAAATTGCTTAAAGGTTGCAACAATTCACTGTTCCAGATAGTAAATACTGCAAGTACGTTTTGACATATTGTTGTCAAGACATAAATACTGTACAAGCCAATATTCTGTTGACTTTTGCCTGCAGTAGCCAGTTGTTTGACTGCTCTTTCAGTTATGCTGTCCCTTTCACTTTCATCATGAACTGTTGCCCTAAGGGTCTTTCCCATGGAAAAAAAGCAGAACATTTTTTTTAATTGCTATTATTTCAAAACAAAAATGTTAAGCATAGATCTTCCCAGAAAACACTCACATTTATTAACCTCATATTACAGAAAAGGTTATTGAAAGTTTTAGAAGCTTTAATAAACAGCAGCACACGAATCTCAGAATTCTTCCCTCCCATTAAACTCAAGCCAAGAAATTCAGTTCTGCATGTCAGTCTGCAAAACTGAGTATCAGCCTGCATAACTGAAGCCAAGCTATTCTGGGATTCTTTTATTATATATTACAGTTTGGGTTCTTATTTTCTTTTTCTGCTCTTAAAATAGTGTATATCTGTTAAAGTACACAAACAATCTCTTTCATTTTATGAAACTCTGATTTTAAATATTTAACCTGTCCTGTGTTGTATTTTTCCACTAGGAAGGTTTTTAATTGTTTTAACATAACATACAGGTTCTTTCTAAGATGATATCTTACACTAGATATCTTGCAACTAGCACTATCTGGGAGTAAGCTTTGCATATAAGTGTAATGCTTAGTCTGCCAACGGTTATGGTGGTCAAGACTGTAATTACTCATCTTATTTGGGTGTACTGTTGAAGTTTGTAACTCAGCCTTTTGAACACGAATATAAATCAGGCAATAAGCAACTTGGGTCAACTGAGCATTTTTTCAAAAGAACTTTTCTGTCACATTAGTTCAATTGTACAGTGATTACCAGGACTATGCAATGCTTCAGATTTAAAGGGGGAAAGGTGGTTCATACCATGCATGGACACATATGTAGATCCTGTGAGCAACTCCTTACACCAAACCATCTTTTCCTAAGATCTGCAGTCAAGTAATTCCAGTTAAAGATGCAGATGCTTTAATTAGTTGCTGACAGGTGCTACCTGAGCAAGTGTGCCCTGAAACACCTTTGTCCCTTCAACTCTCATGTTCAAGCCAAACCTACATCATCTTTACTGTGTTTACTATGTTTACTGTGAGATTAAAATGAACTCCATGAGAGAAGATAGGATACAAGTATAATAAATATACTATACATTCTGGATAGATCTGAGAACAAGAACTTATGGCAGCAAAATAAGATAGAGAGCTGTTCAACGAAATTAATGAAATAGTTAGTTAGGAACTATCAAGTCAGATTCAGTAAGCTTGCCATCTTGACCTGTATTTGTTTATCACTGTCTCAAAGGAAAACTCAACCTTTATACAGTCCAGGACTGATTGATTAGTTCTTGCAGTCCATGGCCTTCTTTGCAACCATCTTCAAATCCTTAATTTGGGGTGCCTATCTTGTTTCTTTAATTTTTTCTCAATGTCCAGCTTTCACAGTCATATATTAGCACTAGAAAGACTATTGCCTTAAATATTTTTATCTTTATGGTCACAGAAATACATTTATTCTTTGTGATCTTGTTTAGCCTTCCTCCTTAGGATTAATTTCCTCTTTATCTCTCCAACACACAGTCCATCTTTATTCATGAGTCCAATAAAAACAACATCTTCACTTCTTCGCCAGCAATGGTGGACCTTATTTTTGTTGTCTTAATATTTAACATTAACCTAGATTTTTTACTTCAATCATGACTTCTTCTAAGTGTTCTTTGCTTTCAGATAATGAAGTAGTGTTACCTGCATATCTTAAATTGTTAGTGTTTCAGCCTCCAATTTTGACTCCATCTCTTATTTCTTCCAATACTTTCATTCCTAAAAATGTATTTGCTGTATAAATCAGAAATTTGGGGCAACATATATCTGGTCTCACCTTCTTTATTCTGAATCGATCATTCTCCCTCCAAAATCAGTTCTTCTAGTTTCTCCAATTACCAGCACAGTTCTCTAATTACAAGAATTTCTAAATTCCAAATAAATCAACACAAAGTTTATAGGCTATCTAGAGACATGTACAGCAGGTGCATCTTTGTACACAGAATCAGTGGACAATTTACTACACAATAGATAATGTCCTGTGAGAACATTGTCAGAATTTTATCCAGCTTTTAAAGTATCCTCTCAGGAATTACATTGCTTCTTCAGAACTTTAATAGGATTTCGAATGTTATATAAATTCTACCATTGGATTCTGATTGCAACCAAGCATGCGTGGGATTCTTTTCTCAACTCCTATTCTCAGGCTGAAGGAGAGTCAGTTACTAAACTGGGTTATTTTATCAGTGGACGACCTATTGTCGTTTAGTGCCCCAGTATACCCATCCAATTCTGTTCTTCATCTTTATCTAGCTACTTCCTCTGTATATGAGACATGTGCATATGAGAGATACGTATGAGAATCTGTTGTGGGGTTTTTTGCTCACATATTTCTTAACTTATTTAAGATCAAGGTATCAACTAAAATGTGAGAGGTTGGGGAATCACTAAATATGTGTGAGCTAAAGTTTAATGTAAAGTTACTTTCACCCCACCTTGTTTTTGAATCTGCTTCTGTATCCCCATCCCATTTTTCAGTAGTCTAAGTTATGCCATCACAAGCCTGGTGGAACCCTTGGCACAACTGAAGATGTATATACCTATCTTATACAATTAGATGTTGTTCTATAAGCACAATCTACTGGTTGTGCCTATTTGGAATTGAAATGAACGTAAGCTTGATGTCTGTTCTTTATTTCCCTGCAAGTATAATCCAGAGAGGTATAGAACAATGGCTGTATGTTTTTAACAAGATGTCTGCCCTATGAATTTTTCAATAAAAAAATACAGTTTTCTGAAGACTTTGAGAAATTTTGCTAGTCAAACAATCATTGGCAATATGGTACTTTTAGCCCAGAGCAGTATTTTGTCTTAAAGAATCATATAAAGTATGCTTAAGCCTTGGGGGGGAAATCCTGCTTTTTGGTTTATATATGCTATGGCTATGTTGCCATTGTGAATTCTGATATTCACAGATCCATGGTATACCACAAATATACAGACTTGATATCTTTAAGTTTCAGACTTGCACAAAGTCACCTGGGCCACTAGATGGAGAAGGTGAGCACAAACCAAAGAAACTGTTACATTGATGAGAATTCACGAGATTTCTCTGAAATGAGACATTGCAAACTACAGTGGATTTTGTTTTTAATCAGAGTCCTGACTAAATTATTGGGGTATACAAAAGGGAATACATTTTTTTTAGAGAATACACTTAGCCAAAAGTAAAGTTCTCTTATAGCCTTTTGTTTCATTTTGTAATGGAAAAAGTAATCATTGAGCCAAAATAGAAATAGAAACCACAATATCATTAATGGGGAGAGGAGCTTGATCAGTGATGAACATCAATCTAAACATTTTCCCTCATATAGTTCAGACATTCAATATCTAAAGTTGTTGGAACATATCTATTTTTTAAACATGTGTTTCTCCAGAATAGTTTCACCCTAAGGAACAGACTTGATAGCTCAATCATCAAACTAAACTCCCACCTTCAGAAATGAAGGGTCAAGATAAATTTAGTGACTCTGTGAAAATGCAAAAAAACAAAAAATAAAAAAAAACCCAGCACATTAAAAAAAAGTTAAGAAAAACAATCAGAATGTCTCTAAACCTATCTGAACCAGAAAACCAGCCAGAGAAGCAGTTGGACCTTTAGACAACAAAAAAAATTGAAGGTGGTTTACTTTCAGGGCCATGCAGAGGAATTTGCTGTGCATCTGGCAGGTAAAATCGCTTAGATTCGTTCCCAGTTGGAGGCCAAGTATGGCATAGGTCCTTTGAAGGTGCCTGGGAAGCAGACTTCCCCCTGTTATCTGGGAACAGTTTGATCCTGTTGGGCCTGAGCAAATGGACAGGATCCTCAGGTCTTTAACCACAGCCACCTGTGCATTAGATCCATGCCCCCCCCCCCCGCATTGGTTAAGGTCTCCCGGGAGATGGCATGTGACTAGGTTCTAGCAATGGTTAATTCATCCTTGAAGGAGGGGGTGTTTTCGGCTCC